GGTAACCCTGGCATCCAATTGCACGGCCTGTACGTCATATTCAACAAAAGTAGCCAACAGTGCAAACACGTGGCCGTCTCTAACCTCAACCTCAGCCTCAAGGAGGGACAGATCACCACAATGTTGGGCCGCAACGGCGCCGGTAAGACCACCACAATCAACGTACTCACCGGACAACTACCGCCCACCGCTGGTTCGGTGTACATATACGGCCACCCGGTGCCCGAGGAGTTCATGCAGGCTCGCAAACTCTTGGGCTACTGTCCCCAGTATAACACACTGTTCAACGATATGACAGTCCGAGAGCACCTCCAGTTCTATTCAGACCTCAAGGGTTTGTTGAATGAGGACGAGATCGACGATGATATCGATAATATGCTGCACAGCACCGGTCTCTGGCACCTACAGCATCATCTCGTCAGGCATTTGTCGGGTGGACTCCAAAGGAGGCTCTGTGTGGCCCTGGCGTTCGTGGGCGGCAGTAAACTCATTATTCTGGACGAACCCACGTATGCATACAATTCTAATACAATTCTATTCAAATGTTCTTGAATATTTCTGAGTTGAGATAAGCACTATACCTTTGCCTCCCTTTCCCACAATTTGATGAAATCCTGAGAGCAACTAAAATATTGTGTAGATTTAAGATTAACTAAAACATTAGGCACTAAATTGTTTAAACAAATCCAAAGCCAATTAATTGTAAATATAAGCAAATGCTAACCATATTTAACGACTCGATTAGTGCGAGTGTGGATCCAGTGGCCCGCAGAAGCATTTGGGACCTAATCGTACAGCAAAAGCAAAGTCGGACAGTGCTGTTGACAACCCATCATATGGATGAGGCAGAGATACTTAGCGATGAGGTGGCGGTCATACACCGGGGAAAACTACTGTGCGTGGGCTCACCCTTACTGCTGAAAAGCAAGTACGGGTGCGGCTATCAGCTGACAGTGAGCCGCCAGGGCTCGGACGACGGCGACAACGACTCCGGCCGTTCATCTAACGGTCCCACCGAGGAGTCGAGTGACGTGGAACGGCTCATGGCGTTCACCAAATGCCTGATACCCAACGCCACGTTTGTGGAGGACTACGGCCAGGAAGTGATACTAACTCTACCACAACACGGGGCGTACGGCGCGGCCCACGATTACGCCACGTTCTTCAAGTGTCTGGACGCCAATGTGAATGCCTTGGGTTTCGGGAACTACGGTATCACCAGTACAACCCTCGAGGAGGTATTCCTAACGCTGTGTAATCTGGAGGAAAGCCATATGCCTATGGAAGCGGCCAAACTGGCGGTCGCCCGCAAGTTCTCTCATCCCCTCAATGGTGAGGACGGCTGTCCACAAAACGACATACGCATGCAATTGGATCCGTCCGTACAGACAATGGACTGGACGTGCCCTCCACTGGTGACCGGCGCCCACTTGAAGTTTAAACAATTGGGAGCTTTGCTTAATAAACGCCTGACCCATACACTAAGGGATTGGAAGTCTCTGTTCTGTACGCTATTCCTTCCGTGCATTTTCATAGCCTTCGCGATGGGTATGACGTTAATTAAGCCCACGTTCGCACCCGACCCGGCCCTACCACTCATGCCCACCATCTATGGACAGTCCAGTGTCTCGTTCTATAGTTTGTTGGACTCTTCGGATGATATGAAATTGATTGCATCCGAGTTGATCAACACCAAGACTAAAGTTGCCGATTGTTTGAAGCCCCGGGAGAACTGGTATTAAATTTTTGTATAACTTATATCTAATAGAAATTATAATACGTTCATATCCATACTATTAAGGCGAGTGTCTAAATGCCCGGTGCTCACTGAACTGCCCTCCGAAACCAATTACCTGCCAAAACATCTGAAGACACTGGAGGGCGACGCGTGGACCACAAACGCCGCTCTCTGCCGGTGCAATGAGTGCCAAACAGACATGTGGTCCATGGCTCAGAGAATACCGGCCCCGTTGTTGACCGGACACGGATTCATATACGACTTGAGTGATGTAGAAGTCAGTAAATTCTTGCTGAGGACATACTCCGAGTTTATGGACAGGCGTTGGGGCGGTTGGAGTTTTCATCGACACCTCAACGGCACATCTGATAGTAACCAAAACACGGATCAAGTGATCAAGATTTGGTTCGACAACAATGGTTACCACAGTTTGCCCGCATATCTCAGTGCAATCAATAATGCCATCATGAGGTCCAACTTGAAGATCGCCGGCGTTGACAACTCGAGCCAATATCGTGAGTATCATCTCTTTTGTGGTTACATTCTGATTAGGATTTCTTAAGACATAAGTGTCAGTCAAATGTTATAAAAGCACAGAATATTCTTGTATTCTATTGTCAAACCTAATGTCAAACTTTTAAGATAACCTTTCATTTGAACGGCTATTTTGTTAATTACTAAATAATTACTGTTTGTTATCAAATGAATACAAATCTATACATCACTGGATGATTAATCTTCAGGTATCACCACATACTCGCATCCGTTGCATATCAGGTCGAGTCAGTTGGGCGACCAGTCGTTGATGCAGAGGGCGGGTGACGCGGGCATAGCCCTCATAATCCTCGTGGGCTTCATCTTCATACCGACCAGTTTTGTCTTCTACATCGTGAGGGAGCGTACGTTTGAAGAGAAACAGTTGCAGAGGATCTTCGGCGTCGGCACTGTACTCTATTGGCTGTCGTCCCTCTTATGGGACTTAATGGCACTCATAATAGCCATCGCCTTCTCGGGGGTCATCATCGCGTGCTTCCAATTACCCATTTATATGTCTCACTGGAACTTACCGGCTGTGCTCTGTCTACTGTTCCTATTCGGTTGGGCGATGACAACACTGGTGTATCTCATGGAGAAGCTGTTCAACGAGGCTTCCATAGCCTTTATGGTCATCTACTGTCTGGCGCTGTTTGTCGGTATCAACACAATGATCATGCGATTACTGATAGACGTATTCAAGTTGATAGAAGTCAGCCCTACATTCCAGTCCTCGTTCGACACCATAGCCATGATATTCCCTCCCTATGCCCTACTCAGTGGTCTGGTGGACATACACCGGAACCAGTTGTTTGCTGACATCTTCACTCTATTTGATCAGAACACTTATGTCAACCCATTCTCTATGGAACTGTTGGGCCCCTACTATATAACGCTTGCCGTCGAGGGAGTGATACTGTTCTTCGCGAACCTGATCCTCGAGCTCTTCACCTTTTCGTCCTATAAGACAAAGACAATCATCAAATCGATTGTTCACAACGAGGACAGCGATGTGGCCGAAGAGCGCAAGAAAGTGCATCTCAACGACACCACCAGCAATATACTCAAGATCGTAGGCGTCACCAAAGCCTTCCAATCCATGTTTGGCAAACGGGTGGCCGTCGATAATGTCAGCTTTTCGGTGCCCCGCGGAGAGGTTAGTTCCCTCATAACTACCAGCCCTGTTTTTTCTATCTGTCCTATTAGACCATTATTTGCCAAAACAGTCCAATTGACTACAATTCCATGTGTTTAAGTGATTGTATTTTATAGAAATCTGATCCCTATATCCTGTGTGTAACCTGGGTGCAATTATCTATAAACTTTGTGTTACAACCAGTGTTTCGGACTGTTGGGAGTGAACGGCGCCGGAAAGACGACTCTGTTTCGCATTCTGACGGGACAACTGAAGCCCACCACCGGTCAGGCAGAGATCGCCGGTCAAGATATCCGGAAGATTTTGTCCTCCAATTATCAATCGCTAGGTTACTGTCCACAGGCAGATGCCTTGGACTTTATGCTCAGCCCTTACGAACATTTGACCATTTATGCACATCTCAGAGGAATTCCCACTCAACACATACCCACTGTAAGTGACAAGCGGTGGAACGCCTATTTTTATTAGAACTTTATTAGAAACTATTATTCGGAACCAATTGTCTGAAATACTTTTGCATTCAGATTGTGAACGAATCGCTGTCAAAGTTCCAACTGATGCCACACTCGCAGATGCCTGTCCTGGCTCTCAGTCGCGGTAATCGACGCAAACTATGTCTGGCGATTGCGATGTTAGGCAACCCTCAGTTGGTTCTATTGGTACAGAATCTCAATTTGATTACCATATCCTTAGTAATATAATTGTATGCATTGCTTATCAAATAGGATGAGCCGACCAGTGGTCTCGACCCTCAAAGTCGGCGATACATCTGTCAGAACATTCAGAATGCTATCCGCGACCAGAGATCAGTGCTGTTGACTTCGCACAGGTATTTGAAACAACCAGTGTTTCGGACTGTTGGGAGTGAACGGCGCCGGAAAGACGACTCTGTTTCGCATTCTGACGGGACAACTGAAGCCCACCACCGGTCAGGCAGAGATCGCCGGTCAAGATATCCGGAAGATCTTGTCCTCCAATTATCAATCGCTAGGTTACTGTCCACAGGCAGATGCCTTGGACTTCGTGCTCACCCCTTACGAACATTTGACCATTTATGCACATCTCAGAGGAATTCCCACTCAACACATACCCACTGTAAGTCACAAGCGGTGGAACTCCTATTTTTATTAGAACTTTATTAGAAACTATTATTCGGAACCAATTGTCTGAAATACTTGTGCATTCAGATTGTGAACGAATCGCTGTCAAAGTACCAACTGATGCCACACTCGCAGATGCCTGTCCTGGCTCTCAGTCGCGGTAATCGACGCAAACTATGTCTGGCGATTGCAATGTTAGGCAACCCTCAGTTGGCCCTATTGGTACAGAATCTCAATTTGATTACCATATCCATAGTTATATAATTGTATGCTTGCTTATCAAATAGGATGAGCCGACCAGTGGTCTCGACCCTCAAAGTCGGCGATACATCTGTCAGAACATTCAGAATGCTATCCGCGACCAGAGATCAGTGCTGTTGACTTCGCACAGGTATTTGACATTAAATATGAAACTTATTGAACTAATTGTGTGTGAATTACATGTGAGCACAGTATGGAGGAGTGCGATATCCTGTGCTCCCGACTGGCCATTATGGTGAACGGCCGCTTCAAATGTATCGGTAGTCCACAGTATTTGAAACATAAGTAAGCGTTTGTTGTCTGGAGACAAAGTACTTAATTGATCACTAATCCAATGGTCGGCCCATAGGTTTGGCTCCGGGTATTTAATAACACTACGACTGCACGAGTCGGAGGGCAACCATAACGATGCCATTAGTTTTATGAACCAATACTTCCCCTCATGTGTGCTTAGGGTAAGTGTGATCAGCCGGTGGTTTGTGTTATACATACCAGTATATTCATTATGTACTATTGGGGCACCGGTAGGCGCATCACCACACTATGCTCGAGTTCAGTCTGCCCTCGAACGACATCCCGTTGTCCACTATTTTCGATTTCCTCCAAAAAGCTCAACAAAGTCTTAATCTGCAAGACTTTTCTGTCAGTCAAACCACTTTAGATCAGGTCTGACATCATAACCAATGATTCAATGAATACCATATGAATGAATGAATGACTAAATCAATGACTAACTCTTAATGATCATGTGATCCGCACAGGTATTCGTGAGTTTCGCGAACCAACAGATCAACGACTATCAGTCGCCGATACCATCGAAACAGAGCGCCGGCGTCTACTCGAACCCAGCGTTCGTCAGCTCATCCGAACACATCAATGGTAACCACAAACGAAAGGCGCCGTTAGAGTCGGTGGTGAAGGGTAGGGGCCGACTGCCGACGCCGGCGACACCGGTAGTACTCGACGATCACCACCAGCACTACATTAGGGCCGCCCGTAAAGTGAACTATTGGAACATCAGTGAAAACACCACTAAATTTTAAATTAATTAATTAATTATACATTGTTTTTATTATTAATTCTCGATTCAATTCACTCGAAACACCCGTTTTCTCATTAATTTCTTTATTATTGATTCATAAAAAATAATTAAAAATAAAAAACACTTTTTTCTATATAAAAAACTCTCTATAAATGAAAATCTACACAAAAATCAAACAAATTCATTGACTTTTGGCTCGTTGTGAACCTCTCATGATTTGAAACACTGTGGTAGAGATTTTCTCGTAGCAGAGATACATGAGCGCAGTGGTCAGTACGGTCTGCAACAGCTTGGACTCCAAGCCCTTATACAGACCGCCCACACCATTGCGGCGCACAATCCATCGCATTATCTCAATCATCGACATCTTCTTCGCCTCTTCGGTGCCGTACTATCGGACCATTCAGTCAATTAGTTGTCATAGAAATTGATCGCAAACTCAATGGTGAACTCACCCTCTGTTTGGACTGAACCACTTGTAATGGATAAGTGGCGACAGTACTGATGCTCTTGGAGATGGCGCCCAACATAAACACAACGGTTCCGCTCAAGTGATTAGTCTTCAGCAGCTGCTGGGCCTCGCGTTTTAGAAGCTCGTAGATCATGAACTGTAGGGCCGGGTTGGACACCAACACCAGTGACGGCAATGTACTGCTCCATAGGGTTAACAGACCTTCGGTTCGGGATATCTTGAGGATGGCGTCGAGCACTCCTTCATAGTGCGGGTATTTGCGGAGCTGTCGGTCGGCGTCGTTCACTCGCGTGCCTTGCATTTTGATCCTCATGTTTATCACCCATAGAGGGGTTGTCATCAACACATTCACCACACCTGACCGTAGATTATATGACACGTTATATGGCTTATAAAAAGTGGGATCTGTTTGCGTGACTGACCAGCGATTGCGCCCAAAGTTAAGTCCTTTAGCGCCGAATGTCCTTTGGATGGATTGGATCCGAAGACCGCTCTTAAGCCATGAAATGTGTAGAAATAGACGAAACCAGAGGCACACAGACTCACCAGAACTGGTCGTAGGCCTCGGTATAGGCCTTCCCTTTAATGGCAAATCAATGACATATCACTTCATAAAGCATTCAGACATGACATACAGGCCCTCCTCGGCCACCAACTCCTTCAACATCGTTATCGTGTCCTTTGGTTTGCGGTTCTCTTCCAACTGTAGGCGCGATCTGATTGTGTCCAACGGGAAGAACACAGACATCGCAGTCATCCCTCCCTATCACCACAATTGTCTTAAGTATGGTATCGAGTGAGTGGTAACACAAGACATGTCTTACAACAGATCCGGAGATGGCGTGAACCAGAGTGTCATAAGTGAACAAATGGTTCCAGTCGTTGGCCGAAGACTTGGCCATTGTTTATGTCAACAAATACTTCCCTCTTGTGTAGTGTGAGTGATGTGTTTAGCATCAAAAGGACATTCTTCGGGAGTCTCAAGCGATCGGTGTATTGAAAATGAATGCAATTATGCGTCAAATGATTGCTCCGTTTGTTTACAAATATAATGCAAACTCTGTTCACAAACAACAGTACAATAGATAAGGGAGAGTGCGATAAGAGTTGACCTCTTTATCCGCTTAATCAGTGATAATCTTATCAATGATTGTGTCAAATGTGACCACAATTTAGCTCAAAATATTGATGATGACTGTTGAACTCATTTGCAGCCTTACCATGTCGTATATGTGGTGTATATTCCCAGTGGGACTACTTGTTTTATGCCTATCATAACAGCCGGGCAATTGAATGGCTAATCAAATAATGGATTTAATGATACAGTAGACTATTTAGATTAGGATTTCCCAAAATTCATTATAAGTGCTTAACCTATCAAGTGTACGCTTAATTTGATAGCCTTTCCCACGTGAGGTCACTTCGACAGTAGAGAATGGAAAGCCTAACAACTTTTTTCACTTAAAACACTTATCCATAAGTTTTTATGATTTATGAAAATATCCGGTTTTGTATTACATGTCAAGTTTGCGCTCAATTGTATCATTCATTGCTTGAATTGCATTCACATATCACTCATAATTGCGGTTAAATTAGCCAAAAAAGTACAGTTAAGTTGTTTGTTAAATGATTTTATGCCATAAGTATAAAAAATATTGACTTAAAAAGTGCATTGAATTCAAATGCGATACTTTTAATGAGATTACTGTAATGGCAATAATGGCTAAGAATTGATCATTGAATGCTATATTTGTGTTATTCTAATTCTATCTAATATTAGATATTCTAATCAATAGATTAATACATCTATACTGTCAGACAACACAGTATTTGCATAAAATACACACCAAATGTCTACTTTTCCAGACTGTTTGCCCTTAATAGCCGGTCTATCGATCCATTTCCCAAAAAATACTGTATCAAACAAAAAAGTATTAAGTTATAATTGTTTGTTAAGAACTATCAGATACTTGGTGAATATTGTACTGTATATTTGTATTTTATTTATAAAACTCTAAAATATAATTCATTTTAAATATGAGATAATTTTTTATAAGTTTCAATACTATTTTGTTGGTGTTGTTACATTTTATTGATCATTTTAATAAGTCATTGAAACTTCATTTTGTAATAACTTTTTATCAAATGAAAGCCAGAATTAAATTCTTACACTATTTGCACAACAAAATCGTGATTTTCAATTTTGTATTACATGTCAAGTTTGCGCTCAATTGTATCATTCATTGCTTGAATTGCATTCACATATCACTCATAATTGCGGTTAAATTAGCCAAAAAAGTACAGTTAAGTTGTTTGTTAAATGATTTTTATGCCATAAGTATAAAAAATATTGACTTAAAAAGTGCATTGAATTCAAATGCGATACTTTTAATGAGATTACTGTAATGGCATTAATGGCTAAGAATTTATCATTGAATGCTATATTTGTGTTATTCTAATCGTATCTCATATTAGATATTCTAATCAATAGATTAATACATCTATACTGTCAGACAATACAGTATTTGCATAAAATACACACCAAATGTCTACTTTTCCAGACTGTTTGCCCTTAATAGCCGGTCTATCGATCCATTTCCCAAAAAATATCAAACAAAAAAGTATTGAGTTATAATTTTTTGTTAAGAACTATCAGATACTTGGTGAATATTGTACTGTATATTTGTATTTTATTTATAAAACTCTAAAATATAATTAATTTTAAATATGAGATAATTTTTTATACAGTAAGTTTCAATACTTTTTTTGGTGTTGTTACATTTTATTGATCATTTTAATAAGTCATTGAAACTTCATTTTGTAATAACTTTTTATCAAATGAAAGCCAGAATTAAATTCTTACACTATTTGCACAACAAAATCGTGATTTTCAATATAATTGTGAAACACAAGCCGTGAATGTCATGACTATATTCGTGTTTATTATGAATTAAAAAAGACATAAAACTTTTAGTTTTCAAGTAAAACAGCAAAACATCGCGAATAGAGTGAGGTATAGGTTAGGCCTGAATGGATACGATCGCTATATTTCCTGAACATACTGTTACCTAAACAACGCCTTCACCCTCTCATTAAAGGTAAGGCACAGCCTATTGATAATGTGATATGGGATGGGAATGAGTAGATGAGGTACAGATAGGCGAGAGAGAGAGAGAGAGAAAGAGAGAGAGAGAGAGAGAGAGAGAGAGAGAGAGAGAAGCGATGCATTAATTCTCTCATTCATTGTCATAAAAATTCACAACATTTTCAAATATATGACTCATTATTCTGAAACATAACTATAAATAAAATATGTTTTCATTTCTAAATTCTTGGATACATTAATATATTTGCAAAAACTTAATAATTTGTCTAATAATCAAGTAATTGATAATTGAAAGATAACATTACGTCCGGATAAGAGTTAACTTTTTTGTGCAGAATTTGCATTCATTTTTAGCATATGTACTGACAGTGCGTTTACAATCAACACTATTGTAAACGATGTGTGAATTTTCATATGTATTATATAATGCATTATACTCGCAATCAACTCAAACCTAACGGTGCTGTGAAATGTTTGCGTTGGTGTTCACCACAACACACTTACCCATCGAAACTCCAATACCAGTGAACACAACACTCCATAACCTTATATGAAAAGCCCTTTAAATCAAACTTTTGACACATATTTTGAACGCAGTTATGATTGACTTTCAATACATTTCTGATAAAAACTTATCTGAAAATCGTTTCAAACATTTCGTGAGTTGTCTGAGAAAACAATGCAAAGCTATACCCGTGAAGATAACGGTTCCCATACCTGTGATCCACCACCTCATCGATGTCTAAGAAGTTTGTGCAGTAGTGGCAACCGGTGTACGGCTGGCCCGGGCCTACAGTTCGGTCGACTCGCACCCACACCTCCTAAAAGGTATTTAACTCTCGCTTGTAATGCCATTCAAAACATATTTGACTACAAAATACCTGACATTTCAAACTAACGACTCATACAATCGTTTATATAAACAACAAAAGTGACACAACTTTCATTGGTAAGCACTGGTAGGAAAGGGGTGTTCATCAGCGCTGTTAAACATGTTAAATCTCAATCCAAATGCTAAACAAACTAAATCCTAGCCTTAACTCCAAAATCACTCAATTGATCAACAAATGATTGAAAATATGAAAAATAGGCAAAAACTGCGCGAAAAGCACTTCAAACCGCTTCACAAATCAAACACAAAATTAGTTTTTAATAGAAATCGGCATTTAATTTACAAATGCATTCAAGACTCATATCATAATCATCTCCAATAACGCGTATAACGTGTCTATCGGTAAGACTTTTGATATCTGGCGCGAGCGCCGGGACCACCAAACTTCTTGGGCTCACACCGACGCGGATCCGACACCAGTAGTGTTCTGTCGTATTGGATGAGAATGTCTTTGATCTCCTTCTTGGAGGCCTCGTCCACGTACTTCTGATAGTAGGCTACCAGTGCTTTCGATATGGCCTGACGTATGGCGTAGATCTGGGCCACGTGTCCACCACCTCTCACTCGCACCCGGATGTCCACACCGGAGAACC